CGTTAGGAGGTGCAGTGTTCTGTAACGCTCTTTGCATCCCACACTGTTCCTGTGTGACAACAGCTACAAGGACACATCCCTGCCAACAAACACCAGGCAAACGTTGCCAAACTAGGTTGGCATGAAGAGCAGGCAGGATATTATGGGAAAGATACCTCCTGACTAGAGGAGACCCACCAAATAAACTGGTCCCCAGGTGAAGGGAGTCTTGGTTTCTGTGCTTTAGCACCAGATTGACCACAGCAAGAGGCAAAATGGGCTAAAGCAGCTTTAAAGCACACAGTGAATCCTAAATAAAGAAGCAGCTTGTTACAGATTGCCCACTAATGAATGTGCATATGTTGTCTCTTCAATTGGGTTGATGAGCTGTGAACCTGCCTTGGGTGTCCTCCAGCCTGCTAGTGCTTGAGACAGGCAGTCAGCAGCACCTTGGGGCTCTTCAATTGCATCCCTAAAACTTCATCAAGCCATTTAGGAAGTTTTAGTCACTGCTTGCAAAGATTAAAACAGGGCAGATTGCTTTTCCTCTGTAAGCCAGCTGAAGGGTTCCCTCTGATTGTCTTTCAGCTGGAATCCTGTATTTGAAATTATTATCCACAGGAGACAAATGTACTGGGTGTGTTTTTGTTAGATCTTAAACATTTGTTCTATCAAGAGGTACAGGAAAAATCTATCTTCATGCAGTGATAAGGCCTGATGGCTCGTATTTACCATTCCAATTGTATTAGTTGGGGTGTCGAAATTAACCCCAAATCAAGCATTATAATTTGGGAAATTCACATAAAAGGCTGTAATGCAAAATCCCAACATGTCTGTTGCTTTGAAATGTCCAGTGAAGGCACCAAACCATCCTGCCTCTACCCTGGGGCCATCACATCAACTGATGACCATGCAGATGGCACCTTAATGCTACAGGCTCAGAACATGTGAATCTGATTTGAGACATCCAGTCAGTTGCTTTACCCAACTCTGAGATGGCTGCAGTTTCTTAGATGGATTAATTATAATTTTCTTGAACTTTCAGATTTCTTAATAGTTTACATTTAAATCTGAGCTTCCATTGTCTGTAATTCCTGCCCTTGGGATATATCTGTCCCTATGGTGCTGTTAATCTGTTGGCCTGAGTCATGTTTTGTCTCTGTATTTAACATTTTTCTCTTTGTGAATTCCGTTGCTGGTTTCACTGAAAAGGCACCACAGGGAATTCTTGAGGCCATCTCTAGTAGTTTAAAAATATGTAATCTGTTTTGCTGTTATGAATTTTTGTTCTTGCAACAAGTTTTTCCCTACCCTGCCTTTATTTTATACTCTGGAACATTTTAAAATCCTGGGATTATCCTGGTTTTTAACACCAGTTTACCACCATTCTGCATCAAATAATAACACAGCCAGAGATTATAATTCAGGGTTTGTTTTGTCATCCTCACAGAATCATAGAATCACAGACTGGTTTGGGTTGGAAGGGACCTTAAAGCTCATCCATTTCCAACTCCTGTGCCATGGACAGGATCACCTTCCACTAGAGCAGGTTGCTGCAAGCTCTGAGCTTTCTTGTTGACCCCTTCAGGCACTGGAGCTGCTCTAGGGTCTCCCCTTCAGGAGCCTTCTCTTCTCCAGCTGCCCCAGCCCAGCTCTCTCAGCCTGGCTCCAGAGCAGAGCTGCTCCAGCCCTCGCAGCAGCTCCGGGGCCTCCTCTGGCCTCACTCCAGCAGCTCCACGTCCCTCTTGTGCTGTTCCCCAGAGCTGGGTCAGGGCTGCAGGGGGGGTCTCCCCAGAGCACAGCAGAGGGGCAGGATTCCCTCCCTGACCTGCTGCTCACACTCTGGGGGTGCAGCCCAGCATCATGTGAGTTTGCCCTTATCCCTTTCTTGCTGAAGTTGCCTTTTGCCACAGGGTGGCTTTTAACAATAATAGGATTGAAAGTGATCTCTTTAAAAAGAAAGCTCATTTGTGCAGCAGAGCTGTAGAAATGAAAGTTCATGAGAAGTTAATTAAGAACTGTGAAGTAGCTGCTCCCTCCCAAGAGAACTGGCAGAGATGCCATATGGCCGAGCTGGACTTCCCATCATAGTGCTGTAGGGGACTGGAGCTGCGTTGTTCATGGAGACACTGGTGTTGGCCTTTGTGCTGTTGTTTAGCAGAGAAGTGTGAGCGGAAGCAGAAGTCAGAAGGCTCTGGCTGGCTTTCCAAAGGGTGATCTTTAACTTGATTTGTCTTGAGAGCAGTAGGTGGTAGCAGCTATTCTTGGAAGGCAGAAGGAGGCTGTTGGCCATCAGCATTTGCTAAAAGGGCATCTTCTAGTTATGAGAAATGAGAATATTAAGAAATAACTGTTAATTAGAAGTATTTTGTTCATGTACAATATTACTGCAAGCATTAATTGAGGGAAAATGTAGAGGCTCAGCATTATAAAGATCATTTGCAACAAGGATGGCCCAATGTTTGGTGCCGAGTTGGAGAGATTTTTCTTTGGTGTTAAATAAAGAACATTCTGTAAATGCCTTTCCCTGATTTAATCATTGTAAGTGATGTCAGAGACCAAATCCCTATTTTAAGTACAAACCTAATTCCATTTAACTCTGACGCTGTGGGTAGCATGTCTATAGTTAGGTTGGCACACTGTCCTCACCCCCTCAGAACCCAACATGAAGATGTGAATGAAGGTGACAGGTTCATAATGGGTTTTGTGCTCAGGCTTTTACATTCTCCCACATTTGCTGTTTATATGCTTGGTTTTAAGGATTTTTTTTAATACTTGGACATGTATTCTTTGGGCACATACCTAATATATATTTAAAAGCAGCTGGACATGACAATGTAGGTTAATCCTTCTCTTTAAGTCATTGCTAGAGTAAAGCCAAGGCCAGATTTTGATCACAGATGCCTTACTAGGCTGCAGGGTCAGAGGCTGTCTCGTGCTGTAGGTCTCTGCCTGGGTATGATGCTGTGTTGTCTGTTGTTTGTGAAATTATAGAGAACATGTAGAGAGAGAAGATGCCACATCTAATAGAAATATTTCATCCAGTGAAACCCTATTTAATTGCATATTAGTTAATTGTGGTTCTTTGGTCTTCCACTGTGCATGGAAGTCACAGCTTCTCTGGGCACCCTGTGCCAGCGCTTCAGCACCCTCACAGAGAAGAGCTTCTGTCCAAGAGCTCATCTCAGTCTCCCCTCTGGCAGGTTCAAGCCATTCCCCTTGTCCTGTCCCTACATCCCTTGTCCAAAGCCCCTCTCCAGGTTTCCTGGAGCCCCTTTAGGCACTGGAGCTGCTCTAAGGTGTCCCCTTCAGGAGCCTTCTCTTCTCCAGCTGCCCCAGCCCAGCTCTCTCAGCCTGGCTCCAGAGCAGAGCTGTTCCAGCCCTCGCAGCAGCTCCGTGGCCTCCTCTGGCCTCGCTCCAGCAGCTCCACGTCCCTCTTGTGCTGTTCCCCAGAGCTGGATCAGGGCTGCAGGGGGGGTCTCCCCAGAGCACAGCAGAGGGGCAGGATCCCCGTCCTGACCTGCTGCTCACGCTCTGGGGGTGCAGCCCAGCACACGGGGAGGTTCTGGGCTCAAGTGCACATTGAAGCTGGGTCATGGGGAGCTTCTTGTCAACCAACACCCCCAAGTCCGTCTCCTCAGTCCTTCACCTCCAAGTCCCTCTCTCCCCAGCCTGTGTTTGTGCTTGGAATTGCCATGGCCCTGGTTCAAGATCTTGCACTTGGTCTTGTTGAACTTCCTGAGTTTTTAACCAAGTATGGTGTAATATATATATTAGGCATTGAATTTTGTTAGGATTTACTAGGATTTGAGGCCGATAGCATGGTTATGGGACAAATACAGTGCCCTCAATGCTGTAGAGTTTAGGTATTTTCATCATTTTATCTTGTAGGCTGGTGCACAGATGTGGTGCAATTGAAATGGGATAACAAGAATCCAGAATCCATGAAAGCTTAATTACAGTATATGTGTGCTTAGAAGACATTCATTTGACAGTGCCTGCTGGTGTTGTGTGATACAACAGGTATCTATAGTGCTTGAAGAACCCTACCATGATCTAATTTGTCTCCCTTGGGTAGGGTGCCTTTTGCAGTATCCAAATGCTGGCTGCCAAGCAGCAGGTGAAGGGCACAGCTCCCTCTGGGAATGACAACAGACACTGATTCACAGTGTGTTTGAAGCTCTTTAAGATGGGACTGACTTCACCTTGTTGCAGTCCTAGAGAATCGCATACACATTTCTGTAAGTGCTTACACCGAGGCAGATAAAAGATTTAAGACTGGAATTAAAAATAGGTGTGATCCAGAAATGAGAAGAGATACAAAGATAGATTCCAATCTTACAGACTTAGGATTTTCTTTCCTCACCAGTGAACTGTGGAAAGGATGATGAAGGGGGAGATAACTAATAATATCTGTTATTACAAAAATAAGAAATCAAGAATTCAGCTGTACTGTTCATGTGCATTTGTTAAGGCAGAAACCTGTGTCTGTGCACGCTTATGTAGAGCAACGCTTTGATTTATGAGTAGAAGGGAAGCAAAGTGAATGTAATTTCTTCTACAGTCTTACTGCAAACTGGCCACAGGGTTTGCTGCCTTTTGGGTTAAATTTATGGCATAAACCAGAAGGTAAGTAAGAAGGTGTTACTGGTTGTAGGTTTCATAGTTGTTTTTCTGTCCCCTTGATAACTTTGCACTTGCAATAGCAATGCTTCCAACATGTTGGCTGTAGGATCTGGAATACGATGTCTCTCCAATTGCATACATTAATACCTGCATTAATATGGATTCTTGCATATGTTTACCTTTCAAATGGCTTTTCTTTTTTTCTTTTTAGGTTATAAACTCTGTGTTTAAGACCATTCTGGACTTAACATATCCAATAACCTCTATGTTTTCGGGAGCAGCTTTTAACAGCAGCATCAACAACATCTTCAAAGATAAGCAGATAGAGGTAGGTTGCTTATTCACTTCCTGCACAGTAAGTGATGCCACCGTGCTCTGTTGCAACAGAAATAGCTTTCTTCCATGCTAATGTGAGATACGGGGCTGTGGGATGACTGAAAACATGTGAAAACTGGGACTGTGGTGTTACATGAATATAGGAAGGAGCCTTGTGAGGGTGCTGAGGCGCTGGCACAGGGTGCCCAGAGAAGCTGTGGCTGCCCCATCCCTGGCAGTGTTCAAGGCCAGGTTGGACAGAGGGGCTTGGAGCAACCTGCTCTAGTGGAAGGTGTCCCTGCCCGTGGCAGGGGTTGGAACTGGAGGAGCTTTAAGGTCCCTTCCAACCCAAACTATATGATTGTGGTGGATTTAGAAAACCCAAGGAGTATATTATTTGTAGCTCCTTCTGTTCTGTTTGACAAAAGGGTCCTGTTGTCTGAGAGCAAAAGTTAAATAGTGTCACTAAAGTAGAATTGCTCAACTGTTTTATCATTATTATTCTGCAAATCAGGTTTCAGAGACCCTTAGGGCACAGCAGAAGGTCTTGAAGAGGGTAGCAATGGGTTTGGCTTTCTTTTTACTTGAATTTTTATGTTTTAAGCTAGAGTGAGTTTTAATGAACAGCCCATTGAAAACTGCAATAGCAACCAAGTATTTTGGTTCCTGTTTTGCATTGGTGACCTTTCTGTAATTGCTACTTGTGTGGTGTGCCTGAGCTGATGGCCACCCTCAGAATCCCACCTACCCTCCAGCAGTAGGAATTCATAAAGCACACTATCGATCAATGGTTGCCTTCCTAGATCACCAAGTCCTGCAATCTTACCTCATTTGCAGTTTTAAGCAAATTATTCGTGTGCTTGGAATCCTTGTGATGAAAGATTAAGTAGCAAATTAACACTATATACACTTATAGAAACACAGAATCCCAGACTGGTTTTGGTTGGAAGAGACCTTAAAGCTCATCCAGTTCCAACCCCCTGCCATGGGCAGGGACACCTTCCACTAGAGCAGGTTGCTCCAAGCCCTGTCCAATCCAGCTTTGGTAATTTTCTGCCGAGAAAGCAGAGCTTCAAATATATATATTAAAAATAATGTAAAATAGATCTGCTTCAAATACATTTATTAAAAATAATCTAAAACATTCCCTGCTTAAATGCAAGTATGAAAGTGATTAATCATCACATGGCTTAAAATAGCATCTTGCTGTGCAGAGTGGGGCTGGAAACAAGCAGGTTTGAGAGTGATAAATCCTTCTGAGGCTGGAATTATTTTTGTTGTGTTGTTGGGCAGCACCAGCCCCACTCTGTCAGCTCTTTGATCAGGTGTGTTCCTTCCTGAAGCCCTCCAGCTCCTATCTTTGGTTTCAGCAGTGCCTGGTAGGCAAACATGTGATTGTCCGATGACTGAGGCAGCCGAGGAGCTGCCGTGCAAAGCCCCCAGACCTTCTCGGTGGTGGGAAGTGTGGTCTCCTCTTGGGTAGCATGGTGTGAATTGCAGGTGGTACATTGCAGTGTGAGGCTGTAGGATAACACCAAGCAGAGCTTTGAGAGGGAGGGAGTGACAAAATGGAAGAGAATCGCTGAGCTTAGTTGGCCCCAGCTTCCCTTGCTCGCCCCATCGCTGCTTTTGATTTCAGCAGTCAGTTTATAGTACTTGCCTTCAAGATGCAGCAGATTCCTTCCTTACGATTGTTACAGCTGTAGTTGTATGATCTGTTCTAACCTTGCAGTTACAGGGATGTCTTGTCCAAGAGAAATCCAGTCCCAAGGCCTGCAGCAGTATTATGGAATCATAGACTCATTTGGGTTGGAATGGACCTTAAAGCTCACCCATTTCCAACCCCCTGCCATGGGCAGGGACACCTTCCACTAGAGCAGGTTGCTCCAAGCCCCTGTGTCCAACCTGGCCATGAACATCTTTGTGGGCATGTGCTGATCCTTCAGTCAAAACCCTTCAGTCTGTGCTTGAGGTTTTCCTCACTTTGGAAGACTTCCATCTGATAAAGAAGAAGAAATGCCGTGTAGCACTGCAGGGAAGGAGACAGTTACTCCTCCATTGCAACTCGTGTTATCAGTGCAGGGTAACCAGCCATGACACTAAACAGATGGAAATTGAAAGCTGCCCAGGTGTAAAGGGTGACTTGGAAAGTCACAGAAGCTGAACTCAGATTCATTCAGCCTTGAGCAAATGTTTTCTTAAAGCATTATTTCAAAGCATCCAAACTGCAAACATCCATCTTCTCTCAGTAGCTGGAGTGGTTTTGGAGGGGGGTGTTTAGCAATGATTTCCAACTGGAAATACGTAGTAATAAGAGTTAATAATAGGCTTACAAACAGGTTGTGTTTGGATGCTTGGCCACAACTGCTCCTTCCTGAGAGCATGCACAGTGACCAAGGCTGAACCCCAAGATGCTGGGATGGACTTTGGCCCTTGTGTCTCTACAAAAGCTTAAAATCAGGAAGCACTGGGCCAGATCCTCCTTTTTACTCCCTGTGGCTGTGAGATGGCACTCCTGCACATCTCGTGTGTGCCCTCATCCCTCTCCTGCAGCAGCAGCACTTACGTTGAGCTGTTATTTCTGACATTGAATAGGGGGTTCCATTTTCTCCTCAGTTTGCTCTCCAGCAGCCTGTGGAATGTAGGAGGCTCCTGGTTCCCGGCACGCTGGCTGGGGGTAGCCCTGGTTACCAGCCACCCCCGTGGCTGCAGCTGCAGATGTCAGCCAAAGGAGCTACTCCAGAAGAGCTCAGCCTGCACCAGTTCCTCAGGAAAGCACACAGGGAACCAGGACAGGGACTGAAAGAGATTTCACAAGAAATACTTATTTTCCTCTGAAATTACCCATCCTTATGAGAGAGCACCAAGCTCTGGAAGTCTTATCCCCCATGCTGGAAGCACAAAGTGCTCTTGCAAGTCGTCTCAGCTGGAGGCTCAGGTGTGAGGAATCAGAAAATTCTTTTTATCAAGTTGTGCTTCAGACTTGAATAATGCTCTGTCCTCAAAAGAAATGGAATGATATCTGAGAAACACAGCCTTCATTACTGCGTGATAGGTCTTGCTTTAGTTTCCTTCGTGCACGTGTCTGCTTGAATTTGAAAGGAAGAGAGACTTTTTTCTCTGTTCCCCTATTTTTGCTTAAAATGTGGTTGATGCACTGAAATCTGCAATCCTCAGAATATCTTTAGCATGGAGAGGCACCCCTAATACTCTCGTAGTCACACTTTATTCATCCGCCTTCCCATGGCATTTATAGCAGATGGGTTGTAATACTTGTGCAGCATCTGTTAGTCCTCCCCAGTTCCACCATCTTTGCAGAACTGCTTAAGAGATTAAACTTGTTAGGAAAAAAGCCTTTTTGAATTGAAGAGCACAGACTTCCACCAGAGACACAGCCTGGCCATTGAGGAAGTGCTTCTCAGCTCATGCTGGTAGCTGGAGTCCAAACCTCCCATGTTTGGTCTGAGTTCAAGGCACATCAGAGCTGTGCTGGAGAAGTCCCAGACACTTTGTCCCATGAACAAAGAGGCTGGCTGCATGGAAAGGCAGTTTTACCTCTTCAGTCTTGATTCAGCTTTGCTAATTGGCAGAGCTCTCTCAGCTATTGTTCTCTGGGCATAAGCTCAATTTACTCAAACAGGTCCTCCTCCTGGCCCTTTGCAGGCTACCCTTTCATTAAACACCATGGAGACTTCCGAAAACTGTCCTCTTTCTGACAAACTCCTGGGCAGTTGGGAGGTCACCTCCCGTTCAGTTTTCCAACTGGTGGGGTGTGAGTGCAGACACAGGTGAAACACAAATGGGAACATCCCCTGCCAGGATGTTGTTGGTTTGGCTGTTGAATAAGCTCATAAAGCACTTAGCATAGCCATTCTCTTTGTATATCCTTCTCCTCCTTATGTTCCCCACTCCTCACTGCTCTTTCACCCTGCAGTATCTCAAGCAACCTCTGGGGTCTTCTTGAAGATTAACCTTGCAGGATTCTCTGTTCCTGTAGGGAATGCTGCAGTGCTTTGTGTTGTTCTCTTTGGCTTGAGGCACTTCAGGTCTCAGCAGCATCGCTCTGCCTCTGCTGCTGAAATGATCTCTAGCTTCATCCGCACAAGGTACAAATTGAATGTCCTTTGGTCAAGAGGCCATGACTTACATTGTTCCCTCTTTGTCTTGAGCTGAAGCGAGGGAGATGATGCCTGTTACAGGCTTAGTTTGGGGCTGGAGGGAGCTAAGTAATTGCATGCTCATCCATGGTGAATTTGATTCTGGAAGACTTACTCTGTGGAGTGGATCAACACCACCTTGAATGGAAACAGTCGGATGAAGTGCAAGAATGGCCATTACTGGATGAGATCAAAGGTCTTTCTAGCTTTGTGCCATGTCTTCAGGGGAGGCTAAAAGCAGCAGGTATTTGTTGACCTAGGTAAGAACCGAATATATAAAGGTGAGACTTCCCTTCACGTTGTCCTCCAGCAATAAGCAGCCCAGGGATCTCTCTAGATAAGTTACTATTAGACCCCCACACTTCATCTGGAATTAAAACAGGTATCAGAAAGAAGGTGAATTTCAGTTTGCGATGAGGCTTCTGTGCTGTTCTGGATGCTGGAGAGTCTTCTGGAACAATTCTTTCTTGCTATTAAAAAAAGGAAATAAGGGGTTTTGTCTGCCTTGGCTCTAATGTTTGCATCAGAAACAAATTTATGAACTCAAGCACAGAGGTGACGGGTTTTTCTCTATCAATACAGGTGTTTTGTGTCATAAATCCAGAGGTTGTTGCTTTGGTTTGTGTTAGAAGTGGGGTTTAGTTCAAGTGCAGGGTTACGGCTGTAGTAAAGCTGTGACCTCCTCTGTTGCAGGACCTGTGGATTCCTTACTTTGCCATCACAACAGACATCACTGCCTCAGCAATGCGGGTTCACACAGACGGTGAGTGTTCAAGCGGGCCTGAAATAATGCTGTGAGACTTCCCTGGCACCCTTGCTCCTGGAGTTTTCCTTGCCTTTAAATTTGCCTTTCCTTTTGTTTCTCCCTTCTCTGTTACTTGCTGAGCACCAAACTCTGGCTGTTCACAGATAATAAGGAACAGAGCTGTTGGGAAGCAATGAAATGAGATGTTTTATTCACTGATTAGAGAGAAAATGCATCCATCGACACTATTCTGTTTCCTTAAAACATCCCATTAAGTGCAGGTGTTTTAGCCATAAATCAGATCCTTTTTTAAGTTATAAATTCCTATAAATGAAGCAGTTTTCCCCCATAAAGAGTCCTATGGAAGCAGAGGCTGGGGTGGATTCTTATTTATGTCCAGTCCTCTTTACTTCTCTGGTGGAAAACTGTAATGCACTTCACTGACTGAACAGAGGAGAAAGATCGGAGCTCCTGATATGCTGCCAGGATGTGGTGACAGCCCTGTGGGACACTTGCTTTATTTTTGTCTATTTGGGGTAACTGTGCCATGACTCAGGCTTCAGTTAAGACAGTACAAGCCCCCAGGTGCCCCAGGTATTTTGGGTAGCTGGAGCCTTTGCTGCCAGGTCTCTGATGTTTTATCTTCTGAGCTGGCTCAGCTCCTATTCATTCCTGCCATTAAATGGCTCTGACACAGGCTTTGGTGACTAAGGACAACCAAGGGGGAGCTAAAACAAGCAGAAAAAGGATTAACCTTTCTCAGAGGTTTTGTGTTTCCATTCTGCAGCAGGTTAAGCCAATCGAGGTCAGGGAACTCACCCCATCCAGCTGCTTGTCCCTGTGGAAGTTTAATGTAAGGATAGAAATCAGCTGGAGAATGGTTATGGATGTCTCCAGGATTCATTGACAGGAGAGGAAGGAAGTTCAAGGTCAGGTTGGAGCAACCTGCTCTAGTGAAAGGTGTCCCTGCCCATGGCAGGGGATTGGAACTGGATGAGCTTTAAGGTCCCTTCCAACACAAAGCACTCTGTGTTAAGTGGCAGGTTCCCAGCTGCTGCAAGTTCCCATCTTGGTTTCATCTGTGGGGTGTAGAACATGAAGTCAGCACTTTTCTTGTGTGGAAGTTGCAATTCAACTAAAACTATTAATAATAAACTCCAAATGTGCTAGTATTGACCTGTGCTAAAGAGTAGGAGTTAGAGTTAAACAGAACTGTTACATATGTTTAAAAATAAAAGAGAATAAAAAAGATCAATTCTCAGTTTGCTGGTGGGAGTTGCTGATTGAAGCACCAAGCAGTTAGTTATTGACAAGTGAGCTAAGGCTGAGGGTCTTACTTATTTTGGTAATTTAAAGATTCACTTCTCAGACAAGACTCTTGGCCTCGTTGGAAGTGCAGTGTCACCCCAATTCAGCTGATGCAGATGCTGAGAGAAATCAAGAAATAAGAGCCTTAAAGCTGAATGTTTTACAGAAAACAGATCAATCAATTTCTGCTTGATTAAACTTCCTGGTTTTACCAGCTTATAAAGGCTTATAACTTTCTGCTTCACAGTGCTATAAACAGCAGTGTCCTAGGAAGAAATAAGATCTCCACCGTGCACTTACCCTGGTTTTACAAGTGAAAATACTTGGTTATTGCAGAACAGGGAAAACAGACTTTTGGGGCTTTTACAGCATCTATTTTTCATGTTCAGCTCCTGCTAAATGTCCAGGGTTTGTGGATCCCTGTAGAACATAATGGCTTTAGCTGCCCTTTGGGCTGCTTTTTCATTCTATCCCTTTTTCCCCAGGGAAGCCTTTTTCTTTCCTTATCAGTGTAAGCTCAACAAAGCACTAAAGATGATCCCTGCAGGCTGGCATATGCTGAAATCTCCTTGAAGGCAATAAACATGAGGCATGGGCTTAAAGCTGTGGTTTCTGAGGCCTTTGCCTGATAGGGTGTCTGAATTGTGTGGAGATTTTGGTGTTGGGTTTTGTGGGGTTTTTTTTGCCCTCGCCAGGATTGTGGTATAGAAAATAATAAACTGCTTTAATAACTTTCTAACAGTATCCTCAGGAGAGCCTCTATCTCCTGATTATTTTCGTGAGTACAAAAGCCTACCCCACCTCTGTGGCAGTATTTAATGCTGTTGCCATTCCCTTCCTCTCCTTCCTGCAGGCTCTCTGTGGAGATACATCCGTGCCAGCATGTCCCTCTCTGGGTATATGCCTCCTCTGTGTGACCCAAAGGATGGGCACCTCTTGATGGATGGAGGCTACATCAACAACCTTCCAGGTAGGTGTCCAGGTCAGCTGGGAAGAACACAGCCCATCAACCAGCCTGCAAACCTTTGTCCCCTTATTTTTTTCCCCAGTAAAGAAAATAAGGAGTGTTATTTTTCATCAGGGCTGTATTTGCTTAAAACAAAGAAACGGAAATAGCAGAAAATAGAGACCCAGAATCTCCATCTGACATTCTCTGTGTCTGTAAGGAAAAGGAGGAATTGCAAACCACGCTTTCCACCTGCACAGATTGGAGAGGGCAAAGGGCACACATGCAGGTGACACTGGGTGGAAAAGACACAATAGACTAAAGGAGCCGAGGGATAGAAATCCAAGTTACAGAAAGATCTGATTTAAATAAGTTCCTAAATTAAACAAATTGGCTCCTCAGAGCTGTGGTTTTCCTACGCGTAACTATTCTGGAAACTGCAACTATCTTGGACTCAGGGGGTGTGGAAAAAAATATACACTGATTCTGTGAGGTATGTGTCCTTCTCTTCCCTCCCTTGGCACTTCCCATATCCAAAAGCTGCAGCTAGTCCTTTTACTGACCTTGAAGTAGGAGGTGTTGCCTCATTTCTCTCTCACTTTCAAATATGAATCTTCCTCTTGGATCCCAAAGCTTTTCTTAGACTGAAATCCTCCGTGCTCCTCCTCTCCTTCATTACCTTCTATCTGCAGGGTTGACCCAGCAATGCTGACTCCTCTTTAAGGCCACTTGTTCCTTCTACAGGTCCCCAGATCTTTTGTTCTTGTGAGAAATGTGCTGCACGAGGTAGAATTAATGTGGCTTCAATGTGTTCTTTCACATTATACATCATGGTGTAACTGTGGACTCGAGCTGTGGGTGTCCCACCTCCTCTGTGCTGCTGCCTTCACATGGGTTCTGGTGACAGTGTGAGAGAGTCAGGTCATCCCACTGATCTGGGGCAAAACATACCCCAGAGGGGCTGTTCCCAGCAGTTTGGCAATGGGAACTCACCTGAAGTTGCTCAGGGGCTTGGTCAGTGCAGAGCAGGCAGCACGCTGGGATCCTGGCATTAAAACGGAGCACATGGGGCAGGGCAGGAGCCTCCCTGAGGGAAGAATGATTTCTCAGCAGAGTTACTGCAGATATTTATATCTGAGGCTGTTCAGAGACACTCCTGGTAGGTCCAATGTCAGGTTATGTACTGCCTAGCAGTGCATTAGTCCTTTTGCCCAGAGAAGCTGTGGCTGCCCCATCCCTGGCAGTGTCCAAGGCCAGGTTGGACACAGGAGCTTGGAGCAACCTGGTGTTGGAACTGGATGAGCTTTAAGTTTGCTCCCAGCTCAAACCAGCCTGTGGTTCTATGTGTGCTTTGAGTGAGCAATGCCAGGGTTGCAGCTCTGGTACTGACATGTTCCCTAGCTGATGTTGCACGGTCCACGGGCGCAAAGGTGGTGATCGCCATCGATGTGGGGAGCCGGGATGAGACTGACCTCACCAACTACGGCGACTGCTTGTCTGGCTGGTGGCTGCTCTGGAAGAGGTGGAATCCACTGGCTGAGAAAGTCAAGGTATTAGAGGCTACATTAAAATCCAGGTGCTTTGTGGACAGAGCAGGAAGCTTTCCCTTGCTCTTTCAGGGAGCAAGGCTGGTGAAAGAGCGTTGTCTGTCTTGGGTTTGAGCTCTTGCTCATGGAGGAAGACAGCTCGGCCCAAAGGAATGGCAGTGAGATGGGAGAAGGTAGAGCCACAGTCTGGGAAGGAAGTGATACAATTGTTAGAGCAAAGAAGCCTTTTCTTAGAGGTGCATTACGTTTTGATAAAGTCAGAATTTATTTATTTTACCAATAAATGTAGTAAGTTTGTCCAGTTCAGTGTTTCTATGTGTCTCTGAACCGTTGATTTAGGGACATTTTTAGCATTAGGCCAGTAATTAACATTACTGCTACTGTTGTGGGAATGTTTGGGGCGTGGGAATGGAAGATCCTGCCTCTTCTCAGTAGCACTCAGTGAAATATTACAGCTGTCTGAATGGCCATAAGCACATGTGGAAACGTGGGATTCCTTCTGAACATCAGAAAACATCTCTTACTGGGGGTGGTGAAACACTGGCCAACCAGGAAGACTGTAGGGTGTCCATGTGTGGACATACTCAAAACTCAGCTGGACATGGTCTTGGACAACCTGCCCCAGCTGACCCTGCATGAGCCAGGGGGTTTGGACTGGTTGATCTCGAGAGGTCCCTGACAACCTCAACCATCCTGTGACATCTCTGCCCTAGTGCTACAGATTTCTACCTGCCTCAAAGGATCACTGTGCCCCTCAACTCAGCAAAGATCTGCCTCTTAAGGTACCACTATATCCTGGAATGAATGACTCAGTTCAACCTTGAACTGCAGCAGTATGTTTGAAGGCAGTTCCTTTTCTGTTGGTTATGGAGCCTGGGAAGCAGCCGGAGGTGCTGATGTGTGAAGTCTTCAGCAGGCTTCTGTGAGAAAACAAGCAGATAGATAACTTTATTTGTCTCCAGTGTGAATAGAGACCATATTCCGAGATGGGAATTCTGAGTGGTGTGTGTGGCCTGGTTGGCAGGTGCTGAACATGGCCGAGATCCAGACACGCCTGGCGTATGTGTGCTGTGTGCGGCAGCTGGAGATGGTGAAGAACAGCGACTACTGCGAGTACATCCGCCCGCCCATCGACCGCTACGGCACGCTGGAGTTCGGCAAGTTCGACGAGATCTGTGTAAGTGCATCCTGGGCAGGGCAGTGCTGCTGCTCCACACAACTCTGCTGCCCTGTGCTGCTCATGAGTCCCCAGGCAGCTGGAGAACAAGACAAGTCAGTTGGCACAGAGTGAATAATTGACACTAAATAATGCTGGGGAATGATTTCATGGCTGCGAGGTTGGATTAACATCAGGAATCTGGTTGGTAATCTTCATTATGCAATGGCCTGTGAGCGGATGGGTTGCCTCACTCTGTTTCATCACAAGTCTTGCTCAGCTGCTTGGTTAAAACTCGGGTGTCTGAGCTGCTTCGGGCAGTTGGGGTTTGTCAGATGGTGTCATTTCTCTCCCTTCATTATGTGGCTTGTTGCTGGATGAAAGATTTGCAGAAGTCTGTAGGGGAGGCTGTGAATCACTGAAGTGGAGGGCTAAAATATCTGGCTTGGTTAACGTTTCAACACTTCTATTAATAAAACATATCATCCACAATTCCTCTGCACCTGATAGCAGGAAAATGGCACCAAGGTCGGTGGAAGGACATTGTAAAAAGGGTACTGCCAGGTTACATATCTCTGGGATTTAGTTCTGTTTGTTTATGTACCAGAAAGCAGCGTGAGAAGAACTGACCCCAGATGTGCAGTGAATTGTCTGAGTGACAAAACCATCTCTGCTCAGGTTGCAATAATGAGAGCAGTTCTGGCTCATTGTCTCATGTCAAGGAAGTTATTTCACTGTCTCTTTCCATTCTCTGCCTGCTTCTTCCATCTTCAGGTGTTTCTGCAGAGCTTTGCTCTTTTCCTAGGCTGGACACCTGCCCCCCACCCAGTTTTCTGTAACTCCATCTCATTTATGGATGTAGTGAGACCCTACAACACTGGTATATACTCCACAATACCTGGTATACTGTGATTCTGTGAATATTCATTAGGCTGCAGATTGATTTAAAATCATAGAACCATGGAATGGTTTGTGTTGGAAAGGACCTTAAAGCTCACCCAGTCCCAACCCCTGCCATGGGCAGGGACAGCTTCCGCTAGAGCAGGTTGCTCCAAGCCTCTGTGTCCAACCTGGCCTTGAACACTGCCAGGGATGGGGCAGCCACAGCTTCTCTGGGCACCCTGTGCCAGCACCTCAGCACCCTCACAGGGAAGAACTTCTGCCTTAAACAGGGGAGATGTAGGTTAGTTATAAGTTTTATACTGATACTGTCTTAGAAATACTAACCCAAACCAGTAATACAGTTAAACCCTGCACGTTCACATCTGAGGGAGTCCCTGGGACCAAGCAGCAGCTATTCCAAACCACCAGCTGATTTCCCCAATATAAATATTTTCTCAAGGATATTTGGTGTCTCACAGCTCCTGGGCAAACAGTGGAGCAAAGACTTGTCTGATGCTCCTCTTTGCTAGATGGAGTGCCCTGGCTGTTTTGACCGTCAGGCCTAACAGTTCATCACAGTAACAGAGAGTGAAGAGTCAAATCGTTGTTCTGTCTCTGTGTAACTTGGTGTCATTAAAGAGATTTAAAAAGGCCAGGGAAATTTTTTCTCAGTGGAGTAAAACTTGAGGAAAGTTCAGCTTCTCAAAGGTGTCACTGTGTGTGAGCAAGTCCTTGGCACAGGACACTGCAAGTACAAAGGGGCCGCACTTCCTGGGGTTTCATTCCCTGCACTGTAGCTAAATAACCTTTGCCCACAGGGAAGCTTTAACCTGTGCTGACCTTAAGGGAAAGGGCGATCTCCGCACTCCTTCATCGTTACAGTTTAGGAAGTTGTGGGGATTTTAGTTTTAGCTGTGTACCTGGATCTTACAGAAAATAGAAATGAGCACCATATAACCATTCAGCACGTTCAATCCCCTTTTTCTGTCAAAATCGCTCTTCTGGATCAGCCTAGAGTGACATCAGCTGCATGTTTTTTCCCAAAGCTCAAGTTCTTGTGGTTATTTTGGATCTGACCTAGCCAGCTGTAGATCTGTCAGTCCCTTTTCCTCCTGAGTAATCACATCCACCCTGGCTGACAAGCTGCGATAGATGATGAGAGGTGGATTCCAGCCTGAGTGCCTCCCCTGCTTTGAACCTGGGTCCAAAAACCAGAGGGGAGGCAGCTCCAGCTCAGCCAGGGCTGCTTCAAGCGCTCAGAGTTGCCACGCAAGCCTGAGGTTTACTGTGTGCTGCCAGTACAAGAGCTAGAAATAGGATCCAGGGCTCCTGTCACCTGCTGCTCTGTCCATTCAATTTGATTTTTCAACATCATTTCTACCATCTTGTTAGAAAGAGTATAAAACCTGGAGCAATCTCTTTATTTTTCCAGTTGTTTCCATGCTAATGCTGCAGTACCATGTTATTAGAATCCCAGAGTGGTTTGTGTTGGAAGGGACCTTGAAGC